GGTATTCTTATTGAAGATAATTTTGTATTAATGTGTAATTAATTTCGATACACCCAAATGTAATATTCAAGGGATGCCAAAATCATTATTTATGCACAATCCCAAGGAGGCTCTCACGAAGATTTCGGAGTCTCCCGAAAGCACACGAACATAACAAATAAACCCACCTGACATATACTAATTTAAACGCAAAACCAAGCCAAACCTAACTTTGAATTATAGTTGATAACACTAACTCTAGGATAGTCATGGGGACAATTATATTATGACAATAATACGAAAAAATCCTCTTTGATATAGACCATTATATACAATCTATATTGATGTTTTTTATACATGGAAGATTGATTAACCTTTACCTCAAATGTAAATAGACATTCTCCTTTCTTATTCCCCATTGTACTTAGCTATAGATTACCATATGAATGATAATACTCTTTGGTATGTTTGTTGGTTCCGTTCCGTTGTTATTTACATTTTCTCATTTGGGAACGTGACGTTTTTTTGTTGGATTGATCAAAATTTACAAGACGAGTATCGTGGACGCAGTAGAAAACGCCTGCCCTTCTGGAACACATGATCTTATTATCCTTGTATTTCGTCTGGCGTTTCGATGTAAATCCTTATTTTGTTCAGTTTGACATAGTTGCGTTAAATTGTGTTTGAATTAAGATTCTGTTGATATGTCAGTATTCAGTTTCTTTTTAAAACATATAACATTGTGAAAAAAAAAGGTTCTGATAGTCAAATATCTTAAACTTGAACGCCCCCAGAATAATTTCTCTTGCGCGCCTACTTAGTCAGTACTCAGTACCCAGTACGCTCAGAGTCAGTACTCATGCACGCCCCCAGTGTCATTACTCATGTACCCTCCAGAGTCAGTACTCATGCACGCCCCAGAGTCAGTACTCATGTAAGTCCCTAGTCAGTACTCATGTACACTCCAAGTCAGTACTCATGTACTCATGTACCCCTCCAGAGTCAGTTTTCATGCACGCCCCCAGAGTCAGTATTCATGTAAGTCTCTAGTCAGTACTCATGCACGCCCCCAGAGTCAGTACTCATGTAAGTCCCTAGTCAGTACTCATGTACGCTCCCAGTCAGTACTCATACATGTACTCATGTACCCCTCTAGAGTCGGTGCTCATGCATGCACCCAGAGTCATACCTCATGCTCGCCTCAAGAGTCAATACTCATGCACGCCTCTAGAGTCTGTACTCATGTACGCCCCCAGAGTCAAAACTCATGTACGCCCCGGAGTCAATACTCATGCACGCCCCTAGAATCTGTACTCATGTATGTCCCTAGAGTGAGTACTTATGCACGCCCCCAGAGTCAGTACTCTTGTACGCCCCGAGGGTCATCACTCATTTACGACGTAGATTCAGTATTCATGTTCGTCCCCAGAGTCAGCACTCATGTACGCCCCCAGAGTCAGTACTCATGAACGCCCCAGGAGTTAATACTTATGCACACTCCTAGGGTCATTACTCATGTACGCTCCCATAGTCAAAACTCATGCACGCCCCAGAGTCAGAACTCATGCACGCCCCCAGAGTCAGTACTCATTTACGAACCAGAATTAAGACTCATGCACGCCCCCAGAGTCAATACTCATGTACGCCCCCAGAGTCAGTACTCATGTACGCCCCCAGAGTCAATACTCATGCACGCCCCCAGAGTCATTAATCATGTACGCCCCCAGAGTCAGTAATCATGTACGCCCCCAGAGTCAGTACTAATGTACGCCCCCAGAGTCAGTACTCATGTACGCCCCCAGAGTCAATACTCATGCACGCCCCCAGAGTCATTAATCATGTACGCCCCCAGAGTCAGTACTAATGTACGCCCCCAGAGTCAGTACTAATGTACGCCCCCAGAGTCGGTACTCATGTACGCCCCCAGAGTCAATACTCATGAACTAAAGTAGTCAAATTTAAATGGGTAAATCCGTCGCCTTTAGGAAATATGTAGTTAAATTTCTTTTTCAGTAAAAAAAAAGGATGATTAAATCAAACCTGATGTACACCTACGGGTCCAGATAGCTGTCACCAACTTAAAACAGGAACGAATCTTTTTGTTTTTCCGCTGACGTCATTGATGTCCCCTGAGGGTAAGTAGAGACATCAAGGTTCAATCACGGAACATAATATTCGTTCGGACTATCGAAAAGTACGTTCGCAATAAATCCGCATTCAGTGGAACATTTAGCATCATTTCTTTTATTGTATAAATTTAATGAAGTTTATGTCATAAATTCAAGATTGATAACATTACCTAAACAAATTTTAAATTCATTTAACTTTGTAGGTACAAATATGTCATGGTTATGATATTACTACATACAACAAAGAAAGTATCATAACAAAGTTAATACAATAGCGAAACGGAATTGATCCAAAAGAAGAGAGATATTTTTGTTACTGAATGTCTTCATAAAGCCCGGAAAGTTCATTGTGCTTGGACATACGAGGAAGTACTCAGTATTTGATTATTGTACAAATGGGAATTGGGACTACATCTAACAATGTACGCAGATCGAATTGTTACTGGTAGAAAACCCTGCATACAACATAGCTTTTATATGAAATGTAACACAGATACTATAAGCAAACTAGTTGTAGTAGAGCAGTCAAGTGTGGAATATTCATATTTGTCAGAGGTGAACTTTTAAGATAACGGGATGCTACTACACAGTAAGGAAAAGAAAAAGCTTTGAAATTAAAGATACCCCTCTTATTGAACATTGTAACACAATAGAAACCATGATGCTATTGTTTATGAAAGGAAGGCAAACAATTTTGAAAATTAAAGATATCCCTATTGTTGACCGTTATTCTAATATAATAGAAACTGTAATGCTATTGTTTCGGAACGAAAAGCAAATAATTATGAAAATTAAAGCAACCCCTCGTACCATTGTGATACAATTGATTCCCGTTTATACATGTGTCTTAAGGGAATAGTAAAATACACATTACAGTAAGTGTCCAGCATGTAGTGGCGTACATTGGAACATAATTTGTGCCGTTGTAACAGTAGTAGGGAACTGACAAACAATGATATGCGACTTTACCAAGAGGGGGATATAAAAAATAAAACCCTGATGACAACACATATATAGTAGACAAAAGACCATATATCAACATATATCAATTTGGGGACAATACAGCATGTGTTTCGTTTGCTATGAAAGGATCTTTGAACATAACGTAAAGTGAATTTGGAATTTCATTTTCTCTTCTTCTTTGGAACAATATTACATCATGCCATTATTATCAGTAAGTTTGTCGTCAATTACCGAATCAATTAAAATGGATTAAAATAAGATAATAGATACGCTTTGGGGAGATTTTATTGCGTAATGTCTTGCTTCGCCAGTAGGAACCCTTGTTACCTAGCCTATTTGTTAGCATGTAGTTTATATTTCACACAGGATAACAGCTCTTTGACAGAACATTCGCATAAACGGTCCAAGCACCAAACAGGCCTTAAACTGTAGTCTATACCTGGTATTTCAATGGCTAATGTTACTGACGTGAATGCAACGAGGCTTGATAGTTTCCTAGGACCCAGGTAATTAAACAGAGTAATAAATGGAGGGATTCTTTTTGATATCCACTGCGCGAACCTCATCACAAACGACAAACAGATGAGGGAAAATAACGATTTTTAAATGAAGTTTTAAATATCAAACAAAAAGGTTAAAAAAACTAAAATAAAAAAAAACCAACAAACAAAAAACAAAATAAAAAAACAAAACAAAAAATTACCTTGACTAAAGAGCAGTTGGCTAACTCAGACCTAACTGACCACTTCTAAACTCTTTTCATTGATTTCGTATTGGAATAAGAGTCTATTCATGATATATTTAGATATTTGAAATGGCCATGGTTAGTTAATTTCGAATAAATTCTTACATGTCAGTTGCAGTCGCTCAGAAATCCAAATGGTAAAATGAGTTAGCTTTACTAATAGAACATTTTTAATAAATCTTATAACCTGTTCTGATACTTTTACCTGACTACAAACAGTCTGATTTGCAACAAAAGTCAATTACATGTGATCATTATGATTCAGACTCAATGATATTATGTCGGAGTTTATTGTAAAGAACGAGAATGAACATCCTTTTTAGATTAAAAAAAAAAAGTCTGATTTGTTTGAAAAGGAAAATGGTTTTAGTATTTTTCGATATAAATTCATCAGTCCCTAATATGTTTAAGAGTGCATGTGTATAACTCTCGTTGATAATATTAATTAAACCTCTTTGAAGACATTAAAACAACCTAATATATGACGGTAAGATAATAAACATGATAGCTCTTTCAATAAAATATTGATTATAGAAAAAAACTTTTCATTTTGCACAACCAACATAATGTGAAGCATGTTTTGTACTTTGAGAGTTGCGAAAATTTGAGAAATGTTTACACACAGCAAATTGGTAAAGGATGAAGCGATGTAAAAACACAGACACACGCACAGAAAAAGTCAATGGTATAAAGAATATGCAAATAGGGAATAACACACAGTGATTAGAATGCCTCTCCTGTTAACAAGTTAACAATGTACAGTAAATAACACCTGTATGTAGGAAAACACGGCCAAAAGAACATTGTTTCATATCATATTCAAGTTATAAACAAAATACCAGCAGCATGGATCTTATGGCCATTATACACAGCTGACTCATCGAAAATTGTTTGAATAATGTAAAAAAAATATATATATATCAAAACGACATCAATTTACGGGATAGTATAGAATATATTAAAATGAATTTATAATGTCGCAGGAAACAGCTGCAGGCTGTGGATGATAAGTTGGATGAGTGCAACACGTCTGTGTGTGTGTTTGTGTGTAATAGGAAACATCTATGTAAACACACAAGGGGAAACTGCTTACAAATCAACTAGAAAAAGTACAAATTCAATCAATCGACATTCAAAACTTCCAAACGAATTGAAATATATAAAATATAGTGCGTTTGACTCACCAGTTTTTGATTTTCCGCCTGTCAGTGAAAAGTTGGTAAAGTGAGATAAGATTGTATTACGACTGGACAGGAACATCGCAGCTGTTGTCTAAGCAGTCAGCTACTGCCGAAAACCTATAAGGCTTTGCACCTGTTTCTCGAAAATATTGTGCCTATCGATCGATACATCCTGAGAGTTTGTACGATAATGAACAGACTTTAATATAGAAGTCACTGCTGAACATTATAACGTGAACCATGTCCTAAAATGGCGATTTTATCCAATAATAGTGGAGATACACACCGAGACTGGAAGAGGAAACAACGCTCTGCTATAAATATTTAACGGTACCAATTGTAGATGGCGCTAGTAGTATCAGTATAATGTTTCACACGCGTGTAGTATTTGACGTCAACATACATTTCAAAACTTCTTGATGTCGTTATATTCATGATAATGTTAGATATAAAGACGATTTCAGTGCTTATCAAAAGCGATACTAATGGAAGTAGGTCCACTCAGGTAGATTTACTTTTGTCAATAAACCCCAAATATTTCCAGCATTGACAGTGCTCCTATATCTTATGTTAGGTATATTCTTCCACAGGTCTACGACTTCAAAAAAATTCGCTCTTCTAAACACTTACGTCCATGGAGATGCTGACTCAGAGATCTATAACCAAATTGAGACAAATACTAACTAAACATAAACGATCGCGTACATGTACACGCCTGTTTCATACACGAGCACCGAAACTGAAAACCTTTTAATATTCGCGAGATGGTGATTTTGGACGTGCCTCACCAATGGATTACAACATCAAGTCAATAAACACATTGGCAAATGCACACAACAATAGTTATTTTAGGTTTCAAGGAAATATGGAATGGATATGTTTTTTGATATCCATTCAAGATAAACAAAGCTGGTATATACCCAAACCTGCACACCAGCAAAGGAATAGTTGTTACACATATTCAAACATTATTACCAAGACACAAAACTGTATTATAAATCATGAGCGTTTGTTCACTTATTTACTTTTGTAATTTGCACATCTGCTTATAATTATCAAGTAATTAGAAAAGGAAACCCTTTGTTAATTGATTTGTCTAAAATGTTAAAGGGTAATTTCTTGCAAAGTCATGCTTTATAAAACAACGGCATCTACAGCCCTACCATGATAGCCACTCATTAAAAACAAATGAAAAAGCAACACATCAAAATGCATGGAGAGAGCGTATACGATTACAGCTTATCAATGTCATATGGCCTTTGATCTTAAGATTGGTGTACGTTGTATTGTTTTTGTTAACAATGAATTTATATATATCCATATTTTGTCAATATAACCTAATTTCGCCATCTATCACATACCAGCATCACAAATGCTTCTTCATGTAGTATATGATATTTTGGAGAATGATTCAATCTAAAGTTCATTATGGAACTACTTTTATTTCGGGAAATTTTATTATTTGTCTATCACGTGATGATAGATACTTTTATATTAGGTTCGTGTTCCTGCCGCTGGTGCTGTTGTTCTAGCTGCTTTTGATCGCCAAAGAATACAAATTCTACTTTTGTCACGTAAATGCACTAGAAAGCGTATTAAAACGCTGACAGATATAGGCCTGAAAGTACCTGGAGGGATAAAGTCATTTTTTTGTAAGTTCGATTATCAAAATAAATGAAATCTTTCCGAATTTTCGAACAATTTTCATTTTTGAACATGTACTCAACGCGTTTTTTTTCGTTTTCAAAACTAATGTCATCCTCTTACATTATAAGAATATGTCTTTTGTAGCCGAGATCAAAACAAAATATATAATGATATGTAAATGAGGCAAGATCTATATTTCATGCAATATGTTATATCTATTTAGAATATGATTTCCAATGCTTTCCATAAGATGATACTAAGTGGTTTTGCTTTTTTACGTGTTGAGATCCTGAGCACTCAAGTAACTGACTATGATCATTTCGAAAACAAATTATTTTGTGTTTGAAATATTGTTAGGCTGACTTGGCAGTGTATCGCTATTAGTAAATGATATGAAAACAATCATATGAAAATGATATTTTATTTCTTATGATAATGGTCACAACCTTTTTTTTATACATTTATCAGGGCAATACAAGAATTAACATGTCAACAGAATCTTCCATTCAAACTCATATTCGATCAATCTTGGGCAAACTAAGAAAACAGTTAAGATTTACATGGCAAGTAAGACCTGTGGTCCGGGAAGGGTAAGCGTCTCATGTTTCATCGACGTCAGCCGTCGTTGGGGAATTCAGGTAAGCTATTGTAAATAATGCTTCTTCATTACGTGAAAGATTTCAACAACATTTTGGCATGTAATTATCGTGATAGATACGGAATAAAATGTCTTTGTTTTATTTGTAGAATAATGCATGACCCGTGTTATTAAAGCGCTTGATATTATGGTGGGTACAATACGGTAGGAGACACGAGAACAATCACGTGAACAGTATACTGTATATGCTTTTTACACGTTATGTGTCTATGCTTAGCAAGGACAGTGTGCTAACGTCCTTGTTGCTGTACGTCTGTCATAAAATATTCATCCACTCATACCAAGACGATCTCTCTTGATGTTTGCGACAGGCGAGCCCGGATCGTCATACATCACGTACGCTTGTGTAGGTCCTAGAATTACAACTATTACAGGCTTTTATGACGTAATGGTTGAACAGTATTTACTTATCGGTTATAATGATACATTAGTGAGTATACATATAATAATGGCATATCTGAACTCTTAGCTAATGGTTAAAATACATATCCCGTTTCCAAAAATACGTACAGTATCATCTAATGAAGTAAAAAGTTGCACTTACATCGAAAGTATAAAATTGCTAAAGAATTCAATATAGGAAATCTGATATCGGCATCATCTGATGAAGTTGCCATTTTAAACCATAGAACATGCAGCCTTAGACTGTCACGTGTTACTGTCTATCAGATTAGCATAAGTTTGTTAAACACCGTATTCAAACTTTTCTCTCTTGTATAAAAATCTCTTTAGGGACACGGACACGTGACCTAATCATCAGTTCGATATGTTAAAACGGAATATTCAGACTTTTATAGACATAATTAAATTTCAAAATATGCAAATTTTCAACAATGTTATTTTCTTTTCTTTCGTTCTTCCTTAAAAAAAAATCAAATCTGCTATGGATGGTTTCACATCTGTGAATCACTAGGTCAAAATATCTACAGAAACGACACTACATACGCTATAATCAAGGTGTACGTGTCTGGGGAGGTCGAACATAAATACCACACACAGACCGTAGACTGGTGCTGATCATCGTGAAATCGATGTATTATGTAGCCGGAGTCAGACAATGGGAATTTAATGTATAAATCACATGCGCATATCACACGCCATGTCCGGTATAGCAAGGGCACATAACTCAGTTATTACCACAAGTTTTGCCGATTTCAAATATGAAATCTATATCTTATTTTAAAGTATAATTTGAAATGAAAATATTGCGAGGTAATCATAATTATGTCAATGGATATCGATAATGATAAATGACATATATACACTTATCATTTTGCTAGTATCTTATGTTTTATGACGTACAATGTATTACAGTGTAATCACAAAAACGGCTCATAAATAACTAAATCTTTGTGATATACGGCATATCTATTAAAGTATTTCAATATAAATAAACAGTATGATACACTTACCTGAAATGTTCAATTTTATATTTATAGGTACAGCATGTTTTGTTTTACTGTACAGAAGTAATTCTTGCGATATTATACAAGTATTAAACTTTCTTGATGAACTATTTGTCAATGCTATATAAATAACATGCAAAAGCGATGTTTACATTAATAAATAAAAAGGAGAATTCTGAAATCCGCAAATAAACAACATGCCCTAAATACGTGTTGAATGTTGAAACGTATGTTGCACGTGTTAATATAGATATAGAAAATCATATTAGTTTCTTATGTAAATTATACTGCTCTACGTTTTTTGTCTTATTATTATTATTATTATTTTCTTTTTCTTTTGGAATATTTCATTTCCCAATGAGCAACGTTCTATAAGATGAAATCTACATCATTATACCACTTTGTCTAGCATGCTTCTTACTTGTGTATATGTTGTTATGACAGCCAGGACGTAAGATTTACCTACCATCTCCATTTCATTAATTATGTTGGATGATTACACTTAATCCTATATTTTGTTTCATGCTACAAATCATTCTTTGTAACATCTTATTTGGTAATACTCCGTTTGGTGTCCGTATAAACTTGGAAGGAATTATTTCTATCCAAACAACGAGAATTACAGGGCGTCTACTCATTACCTGACGTTCATTTCTAAATGAGTTGGACTAATTAGTCTTTTGTATTAGAAAACGAAAATACGTCTTCTTACATCCCATTGTTCCCTTTTGTTCTGGTTTCTGGTCGATAAAAAAGAAAAACATATCAAATTTACCATGAAGACCTCAAAGATGTGGAGTAATTTGAAAATCCTATTGTTCTGCGGAACACGATTTTTCCGTTTTTTCTAAAGAAAATCTGTTACCATGGCACTTGATTACTTAAAAAGATGCAGATCAGTGTTTAAACCATTTTCGATTTCGTGAACAAATGAATTCGTGGGGCAGGAGTATCCATAAAATCAGCGAAAATAAACTCCTCGTAAATTGAATTTATATACATAGCGAACATATGGTCATTTCCTTGCGGTTAAAATATTTCGTGGTTACCTTCATCAAACATTTCGGAAAATGACAGTAATCTAGAATATAAAACAATAGAACAATAAAGTTCTTCATTTACACATATGGGGGCTTTGCCTAAAACGACCGACATTCATTGGTTTGCGTGTTTATCTGTTAAGTGTATGATAGCCTTAACTCCCCGAGTCCACTTTTGAATTATTTTCAAGTTTAAAATTTGTCTTAGAACTATTTCTGAAAAATGCCTATCGACATGCCAACATTTAGTGTAAAATAACATATCAAAAC